GCATGATAAAGTATTTCATTAACTGTCTCCGAGTGACACTTCCTCATTAGATTACATAATCGGGGAGCGATACCATAACGCTTGCAACTATTTAAAAAACGCCAAATGGCACGATTGGAAATCAGCCTTGGCAACCGGAACACTTAACAAATAATAAGCAAGTAACCAATCACGAAGATCAACAGGAACTAAAGAATATACTTAAGGAAATGCATACAAATGGGGAAATTGACAGATGGAGGATGAAATCTTTGATAAAAAATGATGCAAGAACACCGACAGTCTACGGACTACCGAAGGTACACAAGGAAGGAAATCCGCTAAGACTAATAGTCAAGAACAAGCATGGAGCAATGCATAAACTAGAGAAATTCATTTGCTTGAAGGTCAAGAAAGTAAATGACAGACTCTTGAATACCGTCAAGAATTCATATGAATTTTATAAAAGGATCCAGAACATTGGGTTGGTGGGATCGGAACTGTTGGTGAGTTTCGATGTACAATCCATGTGCACAAACATCTCAGGCGAGAAGGCGATAAGCGCCGTAATGGAGATATTGTAGCGAGAAGAGGACATTCTGGAGGCAGAACGGATATGGAAAGAATCGTTAACACGACTGAACAACCTGAAAATGAGGACCACATATTTTACATTTAACGTCAGTATCTACGAGCAAATATTTGGACTAGCGATGGAATCTCTATTCTCACCTCTTTAGGCAAATGTATACATGGACAAGTTGGACGAGTCCAACATTGACTCTAATCAAAGCAAGCAGTACCACAACATTTGTGGGTTGGAATACAAGAGACTAGGGCATGGCAAGTCATAGACTTGGTATTAGAGATAGAAAGAGGATAGACTCGGCGAAGACTTGAGCTAGTTGGCTGACAGTTTTACCAAAAACGTGGTCCATGTAGCAAAGGTGTGACCATGACACTTACTCAGAGACTTTAGCCTCGAATCAATCACTCAGGGGCAGGGGGTGGGTGAATTACGCCTCGTTTAGGACAGAGGGGGGGCAGGGGTTTAGTGTTATACAGACAGATAGCAGAAAGACAGCAGACGGATTCTACGGGGCAAAAGAGAGACTCTGATAGGACTCAGGAAAGGAGGACTACGTAACAATATGACAGACTCTGGTCATCATTCCCAGCACAAGGGTTAAGGGTGTGATTAAGACAGCGTATAGTGTGAAGGGTTTTTATGAATTCCTCTTAAAGGAGAACACCACACTACGGCTAAATGTATACGTTACAAATTGTGACAGTGAAGGTGTGATAGGAGGTTATATGAAATGTGAATATGCCAGGGCAGAATGGGAGATACCACAACTGTTTAGCACAAGTTTGGTCAAAGGATGGGCTTCACTTGTCTCTTTGACGCGCTATTGTATGGTGCTACAAATGAAGAGACTTACTGATGAGGCCGAATATGATACCTGCGAAACGTACCACGTCTAGGGTCAGATTTTGGAAAGTATTCTGCATACAATGGCATCCTGACTATGTGTATTCCTCTTAGTTTTCCTGCCAATATGACCAAGTTGCGAAAACTAGGTCAAACACCTCTAGTTAAAACAATTCACTTAAGCAATAAGGCAATCTACATTCTTTTTTTAACTTTCCATCACAACTTTCAATGGTAATCTGCATATTCTACCTCATGTATATATTTCCCATAAGAGACATATGTACTGCATAAATATCACCTACAACTAGAGGTAAAATTGTCTGTAAAACCTTGAATTTGCGACTGATTCCATAGTTAACAGATTTATGCCTGGCTTTCATAAAATTTAGATTAGCCAACATGCTACTTCACACAAGTGCACATAATTTACATCTTGGAAAATAGTCTACCTGTCTATTTAGTTTGAGCAGGA